CTATCCTCTGATATTTTTCCGGGAAACTCAAGCTTAATTCTATCAAAATTGATTTTGCAAATTAGACCTGCACAAAATCAGGCCGACTCGCCTGGCCTGCCCATATAAATGAGCGGGTTTGGACACACTGTTGAGCCCACCGGCCCGGCCGGCCCGAGCCCGTTTAAATTATGGGCGGGCTTGGATTCAAGTATAGGCCCGGCGGGCCTAAAAGCCCGGCCCGTTAAATATAGTGTGTGTGTGTGTGTGTGTGTATATATATATATATAGTGTGTGTTATATATACACCAATACAAACACTATATTAACGGGCCGAGCTTTTATAATAAATTTTTATAACGGGCCAGGCTTTTAGGCCCGCCGGGCCTATACTATATTATATACACACACACTATAATATAATTTTTGTGTAGTACTCCGTATTAGTTAATTAAAACTTAAAAGGACAAGTCTTAAAAGTTAAAACCCTATTTTATTTTAACTCTTCGTATGCTAGTCCACACTCCACAGACCACAAAGAAGACCGCCTGCTCTCATTCACGCTTATCCTCCATGTCGCCAGATGGATTATTGATTGCACATTGTGATTGAATTTTTAAATATTGATGTTAGTTCTGTATTTGAATGGTTTTTGTATATTTCATCAAAATATTTTTCAAAATATTTCATTCACGATTATATTTGAGAATCGTTTGTGTATTTCATCAAAATATTTTTCAAACGTTTACAATTTTATAAAAAAATTAGAAAGATGATAATTTTTCCGGGCCCGAAAGCCCGGTGGGCAGCCCAGCCCGCTCTTTTGGGCGGGCTTGGACATATGAGGAGGCCCGTTGTACCGGGCCGGGCCTGCCCAGTACAAATGGGCAGATTTTTTAGAGTTAGCCCGGCCCGAACCCACGTTTGTGCAGGTCTATTGCAAATCATAGAAGTTAGGATGTATTTACTTGGACTGTAATTTGCTGGTCTGGTCTGTTTTAATCTGGTCTGGTCTGGCCTGGTCTGTTTTGGTATGAAATTTTATTATTTTTTATTTTTTGCATAAAGATTATATTTTTTATATATATTATAATCCATAAATAATTATAGTAATAAATATAATAATAGTAATAATAGTAATAGTAATAATAATAATAATAACAACAATAATAATAACAATAACAATAACAATAATTAAAATAATAATAGTAATAATAATAATAAAAATAATGATAATAATGACGATAATAATAATAATAATAATAATAATAATAATATTTATAACAACAACAACAATAATAATAATAATAACAATAATAATAATAATAATAATAATAACAATAACAATAACAACAACAATAATACTAATATATAGTAATAATACTAATAGTAATAATAATAGTAATAATAATAATAATAATAATAAACATAATAATGATGATGATAATAACAATAATTAATATTATAATAATAATAATAATAATAATAATAATAGTAACAACAACAACAACAACAATAATAATAATAAAATATGGACTGGACTGATCTGGTCTATTTTAGTCTAGTCTGGTCTGGTCTGGTCTGGGACGAATTACAGTCCAAGTAAAAACAACCTTAGTACTCTTTATTTTACAATAGTGGTTGACGTTTTGGGCTTCAAAGGTTAAGATATATGTATAAACATTTATTTTGGACAAATGGCCATTTTAACTCCCCTTTCACTTAACTTTGTTTCCAAGTTTGAATGAAAGGATCAAAATCATTAAATGAGAAGAACCATCATTTATAGTAGGAGTGTCACTTGATGTTGTTTAGCTTAGATGAACTTAGGTAAATGAGATTAGAAGTTTTAGTGTACTTTCTAATTATGAAATATGAATATTGTAAAAGAACATCTATCTTTAATATTGATCACTCATATTCAAATTTTCAATGATAAAATGAAATTTTAATATGGATTAAGGAGTATAAAAATTAATTTCAGAAAGTCTTGATATCAGTTTAAGTAAGAGGGTCGGGATAAAATGCAAAGCGTCAATAATTTTAGTCATCCTCACTAGAAAGACCTAAAGGTCAGGATCAAGATCCTCTGCCATAAGGCAGAGTGCCTTGCGGCATCCGACGGCAGCTAAGCGACGAGCAGGATCTCGAGCTCGACAAAGGGGTGGAGCTCAAGATATTCGGCCGTCGAATTTCCGATCTGACTAAGGTAAACAGCCAGACACCCTTCTTGACTGCTTAAGTAAGGCAGAGGCGCCCGATCCGAAAGGTCAACATGACCCCCATTATTGCATCTTCGGATTGGTGACAACTGCCAATGTGAACCAAACAAAATGTTGCAATTGAATCATTTTCTTTTTTATGTTTTGAATTATTATTTAAATGAAAATTAAATATGATATGATTATTTAAACCAATCTAATGAATGATAGGTATGGTATTCTTTTTTTAATTAGGTATCGTCATTTTCACCTTAGTTAAATTACGGAGTAAATAAGTTATAGAGTTCGTATTTTTGTTAAATATTTTTACCCAAGTACATCAAATCAAATATTTTTAAAATCTTTACATGATACCAATAACAATGTAAAACTAAATTAAAAAAATCTGAGATAGATACATATTCAAAATTGTCAATACTTCCTAATATTATTCATATGATATAATACCTTAGTTTCATAAATCATAACCAAAATTAACTTTTACGTAGAATAAAAACATCAAAACCGTGTGATTGATATCTGTGCACACAAAAATAAACAACATTAGCAGCACATAAGTGCACATATTAAAGATCATAAAAACTAAATCTATATATGAAAGATCATAAACAATTAATCAAGAGAATTGAATAATTCAGCGAGACAAACCATCTCGAATAAAAAAAAGCAAAAAAAACCATCTTGAATAAGGGTCTGTTTGCAAGAGTATAAAAAAGAGATTTTTGGTTTTTAACTTTAAAAAGCTAAAATTAGTATTTCAAGTAACAATTTATACTTAAAAAACGCATCTCAGCTTTTAGCTGAACAATACTTTTTACTTTTTCTGTTACACAAAAAAGACATATTTTATCAAACACTAACATTTTTTACTTTTCAAAATCATTTTTTCTCAAACGCTATCAACTTTTAATACTATTCGCTTTTTCCAAAATCAGTTGAAAAGTTCTTTTTTAAACCAAAAAGAATTTGCAAAACACTCACCTAGGCTTCCCGCAAACCTAAGGATGAAATGCCAATTTTGATGCTTTCATCCCACAAATACCGCAATCCAGCTATTTAGGGGGTGCCAAATTGATTAGATAGCACCGAGTGGGAATTCTGTGCTTTATTCACGGAGAGAGAAATGTCTTGCAGTTCGGTCATGGATTTACAAGACATGTGGGATTAGTAAAACTAAAATCCCAACTATCTTAAATTGATTATAACTCTTGTAATTGGTACTTCAACTATCTGTGATTTGGGCCTTTATTAGATAGGAGCACGTGTTTCATTTTCAAATAAAGCAGAACATAGTTTCAATTCCATTATCACAATAGAGATGTGGGGTCTATCGCCGTTAGAAAATCAAACCCCAATTTTCAAAAGTCTTCGAAACATTAAAAGAAAAATACCGGGAGCGTCTTGTCAAGGAGATCAACAAACTATCTTTCTTTCTTTTTTGTTTCCAGCCACCAAGTCATCAAAAAAACTGCTGGAAAAGTGATATCAACAAATTCATTTTTTAAAAATAACCCAAATAGAGTCGAAAAAATCAAAGAGAACGATAGTTTGTTGGTCTCCTTGACGAGGCGCACCTCCCAGTATTTTTCTTTATGTTTCAGAGAATTTTGAAAATCGGTGTTAGATTTTCTAACGGCGTTAGACGCCATGCCCCTACTGTGATAACGGAAGTGAAGCACATGCCCCACTTTGTTAAAAAATGAAACATGTGTCCCTATCTTAAAATGGTCCAAACCACAACTACCCTTTTTGTACTTATTCCTTCAATTTTTATAAAAGTATACTTTTGTTTTGTTTTGTTTTTTTTACTCCAGGAGGTGCCTGGGGAGGGGGGCTGGGAAAACCTGAAGTAATTTAGGTTGAAACTCACTCCATTGAATTTCAAACCCGAGACCTCCTGTAAGGGAGAGTGAGGCGGTGATCGGCTGGGTTGGACCGCTTCCTCCAATAAAAAAAGTATACCGAAACTCATAATTTTTTAATTATCTTTCATACTCCGTATGAAACTAATATTATATACGGAGTATATTAAAGTTAAAAAATAAAAATATGAAGTTTTATCAGTTGGAAATTTTTATGTTCATAATTTTTAAAAAATTGATCCAAGTGATAAAATTAAGACCTTTTGTTTAAAATATTTTTAAGATATTTCAATTTTTTTTTCGGAATTAGTTATGCATTAACAAAAAAATTAAACTCCAATTTTGTTTATTCTACGTTGAAATGTTGGACTGATAAAATCATAAGTATTCGCAAAAAATGACAAAAAATGATTTATAATAACAAAAGGAAGACATTAATTGAAGAAAAAACACCGATGGCTGAATATATTGACGGTGCTGGATTGTAGTAAAAACTAAATTGACAGAGTCAATACGTATAAATTGGCGAGAAATTTGGAGTCTGTTTGGTAACACTGAAATCAACTGAATCGACCGATTCTACTGAAATTTATGAAGTTCTGACTGAAGTAGTTGTATTGACTAATTCTGGTGATTTACTAAATTAATATATTTAAAATATATTTTATTAGTAAAACAAAGAAAAAATGATATGGAAAACAGCTAAAATCATTATGTACAATAACTTAAACGAATAAAACCAGAAAAATAACTCAATGTTACCTTTTTTTATCAACGTCCAAAATCAAAAATACGAAGAAAAAAAATGTTTAGTAAAGAGTCATTTAGTGATTTATTGACAGATTGGTTTGGTGGTGTTAGTGTAAGAGTCATTTAGTGAGAAAAATTGAGCTTGTATGCAAGGAGACAAGTAGAAGAGGTTTCCGGGATAGAAAAGGAATGACATGTCCGTCCGTCCGTCCCACAATTTCTCCAGCAATTCCCACTTGTTCTTTCGATCAAAACAGAGCAGCAGCATATTTTACAATGTCAGTTTGCAGAAAGAACCCAAACCAGGGGAGAAAAAGCACTTTACATTTTACACTACTCAAATGAAGAAAAGAAGCCCAGAATTCAAAAAATCTACGTACTGGATGGGGTAAAAAAAATTAATGACTGATTAATGAGTAACAAAGAAACGAGGTTCCCAAGACAGTTTGGTGTCCGCCCCTTCGGTAGCCGGAGCTCCGCCGTTGTTCTCCTCCGTCTCCGAGTAAAATAAATGTGTGAGATTAACCAAACTAGCCTTTCCTTAAACTAAAAAAACTCGGACACTTTTCTCCCAGGAATGCCATTACCCTCCTCAACGCCCCTTTCTGCTCAGCGCGCTCATCTTCGCTGCCTCCACCACCACCGCCGGCGGAGCCGAGTCTCTCCTCTGCAGTCCCTACGTCACCGGAATCCTCCCCATTCGTAATTACCTCATAATTTCTTGGCTTTTCCCCCGAAGAACTACAAGAATCTTTACTGCCGCTCTTCTTTTTTCCTCCCCTGTTCTTCTCCTTCTTGATCTGTATGTCGTCCTCATAGGCGTCAATGGCTTGATGAATGAGATGACGGTTGGGAGAAGAGTCCCACCTTGCCCAGTAGCTCACGTAGCAGTTGAAACAGTGGCAGTCGAAAGCGGGCGGATGGTCAGCGCCACCGTCTGCGGTTGTGGTTGTCCTGTTATTGTTCCCGAAAGGGCGAGAGATGATATAGGCCAGGGCTTCTTGTTCATCTTCAGAGAGGGCCCCTGCCATAGAGATAACTGAATCTGGCAAGAAAGCTCGCTTATCTGTCAGTGGCGGGGTGGGATGAACAGTGGTTTTGCTGTGGGGCTTCTTCCTCTTCATGATATGGGCCATATGGCAGAGGATGCGAGGGAATAACGAAAGTGAGTGAGGAGACTGAAGATACCAAAATGAGGGATGGAATTTTTTAGGGTTTGGGAGAGAAAATGGAGAGATCAGAGCTTGACAACAACAGATCACATATATACCTGAGGTTAATGATAGTAGGCTGGGACCTTTAGACAAAACATGTGGAATTATTTAAAAATCTCATTCTGCTCAAATTTATGAAGTTTTAATTGAAGTGACCTCATTGGCTGATTCTATTGATTTAAGAAAAAATTATTTAAAAATATATATTTTTATTAATAAAATAAAGAAAAAATTATATGTAAAAATAGATAAAATGGTCATCTACAGTAACTTCAGCCAATATAGTCAGAAAAGTAACTTCAACCTTACTTTTTCTGCTTATTACGCAATTCAGCGCGCGAAAGCAAAAGTAACGTGTTTGGTGAAAAAGTTGGCCGATAAGCCCGATAAACCAAAAAAGTGGCTCCAAACGGCCTCTTAATATGACTTCAATTTTTACAAATTATTTGTAGAATTGATAAGAACCAAATCAAATTTTAAAAAATTCGATTCTAGTAATTTCCGGTTTTTTAATTTCTTTAAAATTGTTCCAAAAAGGTGGAATCTCCCACCCCAGGAGCCCCCCCCCCCCACCCGACCCGACAGGATGGTGGGGAGGTTAGTCACGGTGACTCAGTCAGCAGAATGATAGTATGCCCATACACCCGTGCGCACCAGAAGCTCAGCCTTATTTCAGGTTCTGTGACCTCCACCCGGTCGCTGCGGGGATTCGAACCTTGGTCCATTGTTCCAAATCTCCCACCACTCAACCAACTGAGCTACCCGTGCGGGTTTAATTTCTTTAAAATTTCCTACAAATTGTCACTAAATTTGTGGCGATTCTAGTGATTTTTGTTTTTTAATATTTTTTAAAATTTCCGACAAATTGTCACTAAATTTGTGTCTCATAAAGACATTCCGAACCCGTTTGGTGATATTGTTTTTCGGCTTATCAGGCTTATAAGCCAATTTTTCCACTAAACACGTAACTTTTTCCACTAAAATTGTGTAATAATAAGAAAAAGTAAGGTTGAAGTTACTTTTCTGACTTTATTGGCTGAAGTTACCGTAGAGGGTCATTTTAGCTATTTTTTAATATAATTTTTTCTTTATTTTGTTAATAAAATATACGAAGTATTTTATATCTAAAATTTTCATAAATCAACAGAATCAGCCAATACAGTCGCTTCAACTAGAACTTCATAAATATTAGCAGAAACAGCCGATTCAACCGATTCAACCGATTTCAGTGTTACAAAATGGGCTCTCAATGTTTGAAATCATACGAAATACAAATACATTCAAATTTATTACCATTTCAAATATCAAAACTTCAAAAGTTATGTTTCAAGTATAAGTACATAAACTAAAAAGAATAGTAAAGAAAAAAAGACATTCACTACAAGATAGAACAATCAGTTAAATTCTTCTCAAGTTACCAACTCCATTAACTAAGCTAAATTAGTGAATTTAATATAAAAATAAATAAGTAAATAAATATTAAATATACTATCGTATACACTAATATTTGATTGATTAAAACATAATTATATACCAGTTTTTTAACCAATTACGCCTACACTTTATCATAGGTATTGAGAACAGAACCGTAAATAAAAATAGGAACCAAATCATTAATAAATAACTAATTAATGTTGCAACGGACCGGTCAAAAACGGTTCAGTTTGACGATATTTTATTGGATAATCTGATTTTGCGTCCCACATTTTAGTTGATATTGGACTTTGCATCCATTTAAAAAACTTTGATTTTCCACCGTATTTCATTTCAAAATCCTTTGACTTTGCACCCCATTTAGAAATTTTCTTTCGCAAATGTTATATGATAGGGTGTAAAGTCAAATATTTTTTTATAATAGGGTGCAAAGTCTAATTTAATCCAAAAAGTGATATGCAAACTCAAATTTTCATTTTTTGTATCTCAAATTCTCACCCCAGGACGAATGCTAGCCTTAAGACTAGGCCTTGACTCGGGCCGGGTGGCCTGACCCCGAATCGGCCCGGCCCGGTGGCCTAATCCGGGTAGGCCCGACCCGAGGTGGTTCCGGCCCGGGCTCAGCCCCCCCCCCCCCCCCCCCCAAACGTGAACCGGCCCGGCCGATTCGTGCCCGGTTCCGGACCTTTTTAATTTTTTTCAATTTTTTTAACCTTTTGGGTTGGGCCGGATATTTTGGACCATTTGAGATGGTTTGGGGTGGTTTGGGGGTGAGGGTGAGGGGGGGTGGTGGTTGGGGGTTAATTAGGAAAATGAAAAACAAAAAAACAAAAACCGAACCCCGGCCCGGCCCGGCCCGAACCGGACCCAGGGGTTACCCGGGTTGGTCCCGGACCTCCCATTCCTGAACCGGCCCGAGTCCACCCCTACTTAAGACCAACGCTACCCTTAAGAAAAGTGGTATTGAAAAAATGTATAATGGAGTTTATATTTAAATTTTTAAACAGTGTCAAATACGGATAGCCAAAAGTTCATACATTCGATTTTCGGATTAATTCATACCCAAAAGTCAGAAATCGAATATTTTGGATATTTGGTAATATTAAAATCGTGATTTGATATAATTACCTGTTGGATAAAACCTATTAATAAAATGAAAATAATGATGATAAGAATTAAAAGAATTTGAGTCCTAGAAATTACTTCAAATATAACTAAAACTATGACGAAAACTCAAAATAGGACTTGCTATGTTTTTTATTCTAAAATAGGACCATATTGGTCCTATTGGAAACATACCTATTTCTTCATTCCATTCTTACCTCCTCCTTTAAATATGAGCAAAACATAGTCAAAAGTCATAATAAAATGTTTAATACATAATAAATTCGAAAAAATTTCAAAAATTCGTAGAAAAGTAATAAAAAAATCAAGATTTTTTTTATAAAATAAAAAAACCATTTTTTTTGAAAAATAATAAAAAATAGTAAAACTCCATAAAAAAATATAAAAAAATTTGAATCCCTTTCCCACCGCCTGTACTACCACCCTGCACCACCACCTCTGATTGGTGTAAAAAACGCCATTTTGTTTTTTAAATTCCAAAAAAATGGCATATTCATCTTTGAGAATGCCAACACTTTCATTCTGCCAACTTGAATCCTTTTGACTTCTGCCAAAAATATGGTGATGGATAGTCTACCCGGGGGTATATATCCGAAGGGTTACTACGGGGAATAACTTTAGAGAGAAGTCAGAGCAAGTAAATATATATAGAGAGAGTGTATTATAAATGTGGAGCGTTTTCAGCGTGGTTACAAATGGGGAAATGAGGTGCTATTTATAGTAGCAATAAATGCCAGGCAGGGACACGTGTCAAGCGCTCATTGGCCGAGGGGTCACCTCAACTGGTTGGCGCTGGCAGCCGCATGTGGCCGCATTTAATGCGGCTGTTGGATGGGACGTCTGTGCAGAATACGGTGATCTGTACGCATGTGAGGCGGATATCTTGTCGAGTGAGATGCCTTCGGCTATAGAGCAGTAGCCGAGGGCTCTTCCTCCCGATGGCACCCCTGGTGCCGAGGGCTCACAGTGCCGAAGGCTGATGTTTTCGCCGTTTTCTCCCAGTTTCTTAGTTTGCTTGAGAAACCCGTTCTGTGAGAATTTGGAGCCTTCGGCCAGGGGGCCGAAGGCACCCCTGTGCGTTGTGCGGACTGCTTGGTACTCCGGGCGCTGTGAATTGGGCCTGTTGGGCCTTTTGGGCCTTTTGGGCCTTTGCTGGAGTAGTAGGAGTCTGTGGGCCGGGGGTTCCCGAGCCATATACTCCATCAGGAGTCCCTCACTCCTTTTGCCGAAAGGTACTTGAGGGAAAAGGAGTGATTTGTGCTTGCCCTTTGATGTTGTCCCGTTGTGATCTCTGAAGTTGGTGAGGAGTTGTTGCTTTTATGTCCCTGCCGAAGGCGGTCCCTCAGTTACCCACATGTCGGGACTTGAGGGCTTGCTTTGTTGTTTGTTGGAATTTCACAGATTTTGTAATTTAATGATTTTCCCGAAGGGGTCCTCCAGTCCCCCACTCCTTGAGGCACTTGTAAAGTGGTGAAAAGGAGTAAAGTAGTTACGTTGCTGTTGTGGGCCGAAGGCTGACGCTTTTCGTTTCATTTTGGGGGGATGCCTCGTTAAAAACCTCATTAGGAAAAACCCTTTGGGAAAAAATCCTAATGAGGGAAAAAGAGTGCACCGAATTCCCCCAATGATGAATCGAAAATGTCCAACCTTGGTAAAAAATGGAGAATGACGGGAATCCCGAAGGCTCGCTCTTCTGAGGGCTCCTGTGTTGATTAGCCGAAGGCTCGCTGTTGATGTCCTGGTGGCGCCGAAGGGGAGCCCCTCAATCCAGGGATCGAGGGCCTGCCAGATGAGGGCAGCAGTGAAGCTGTTACCGGGGGTCCACTGTATGTTGATGGAGTGGTGATTAAGATACCCGAGGGCCATGGGCCATCCGTCAATGAGGCACTCCCCGGGGGCTACCCGGTTTTGCGGTGCTGAGGGGAATACCCGAGGGGTACCCTGATATGCAGCCCTAGGGATCTGAAGGAGTGATCCCGAAGGCGTGTGTAATGTGCGCTGTGGGGCACAACCCGGGGGTACTTCTGGGTGAGTGCACCCGGAGGCTATCCTTGATGAAGTGGAGTGAAGTAGAAAACCCGGGGGTTCCCAAAATATAGCCGTTGAAAATATAGCCGTTGGAATATGTAACGACATGATATGGCCATTGGGGGGGGGGGCACACGTGACGTGTGAAGGCTGGTTGTCCGTGGGCGGCGTCACCGGTTGGGTGAAATGGCGGTGTGTAATGATGGCGTCCATCCAGAGGCCCGGAATCCAGGCCCAAGCCCGGATTCATCGCCTATAAATACCCCAAGGCCAGGCATTCCTCCGTGTGCGATAAACTTGTTAGCGAAGCTTTGTCAATTTTTCTAGAGAGAGAAAGTTCAGCCTTCGGTCAAAACTCAGCTTTCGAGGTCAGTGCTCCCTGCCTTTCTCCTTCTAGCATAGCTGTACTGTGCCCTTAGTTTAGGAGATAGAATTCACTAGGAACCTTAGTTCC